TATTCATTATTCCTAATTAATTTATCCTGATTATTTCTATAAGATATAATTCGATATAATTTTTTTTCCATAAAATAATATTTATTCCATATTCCATAAAATAATATTCAACACATGTCAGACACATGTTGCTTGGATTTGTTCAGACTTGGTCGGTGAGTTATACCCAACACTACTGTCTGTGTTTTTGTTAATTACTCGTTAACAAAGGTATAACGAAAATTTTTGCAAGGGAAAAAATTTTGCTTGAAATTATCTCAGGAATCTTCAGTTAATCAGTTCTCTCACATTTTTTGAATATCCTGTGACTATATATGATAGGATTCGCTATCGTATTATCACTCTATTATCACTCAAATTTTTAAATAATTTATTAATAATTTATTTTATTTATTGGCATCATTCGTGTAAACAGTATAAGCTGATATATTCAAATATAAATAAAATAAAAAAATGTACCTACATTATTAAATAATATTAAATAAAATAAAAAATACCTACATTTTATCGATGTGGACTGAAAATTAAATTTGTCTAATTGTAATGTTATTAGAGAAACAGTTGGTGGAAAACTCTGTTGCGATTGAATTTCTCTGAATTAAACAAAATTAAATTAAACAAAAGAGAAGAAGGGATATAATAAAATTAAAATAATAATATTGAATTTCGAGGTCGAAATAATTATTCAAAAGGATTAAATATCGATTAATCCTCTCGCATTGATTTTATAATCCATTTATAAAAACTTTCCCTTTATATATGTATATCTTATATGATATTATATTTTAATTAAATGAATTGAAATTTAAATATTAAAAGAGAAAGGATTCTTTCGAAATTAACGTGAAAAGAATATTATATATTTTTTAGCATAAATTTAACATTTTTTTTTAATTTATACCAGAAAAATCTAATCTACTAGTAAATTAAAAAATAAACCATTGTGTTAAGTTTAAAATATATACAGTATTACAGTGCCAAAAATATATTATCTCACCATTTGTAGAATAATTTCATAAGATCCGGTATTCAGCATAAAGACTATTAAATCCGTTATCGCTTTATGGATATTAAAAATGCACAAAAATCAATAAAAAAGATAAAGAAAATTTAAAGCGATCACACGAATGATGACGTTATACAATATATCCTAAAAATAAAACACTAGTTAATTGGGGATTCTTGAGGTAATTTCAAACAATATTTTTCTTTATAAAAAACTTTCGTTACGTACGGCTTTATTAACGAGAGTTATTAATAAACACTGGTCAATCAAGAAATGTGTAGACTAATCAAGCCATGACGATAGTGTTGGTTACGTTGACAAAGTACAAACAAATCCAAACGTGTTGAAGAAAATCTATTGAATACGACAAATATTTTTTTATCAAATTATATCGAATTATATTTTATTGCAATTACCCTTTCTCTTTATCATCCTCTTCTTTTTCTCCTTCTTTATCAATTCTTTCATTTCTTCTTTTCATCATCTTTATCATTATTTTTTTCTCCAAATATATACTAATTTATCCTTAATTTGTTAGAAATATTTTATATTTTTTTGTTTTTATAACACAATTGTTATTATTCATCTTGAATTACGAATAAATTCGATTTTTTCGAGTTGTTTTTTATTAACTCGTTAACAAAACCGTAGCGAAAATTTCTACAAAGGAAAATGTTGCTTGAAATTATCTCAAGAATCTTGAGTTGAACGCTGTTCCCATTTTTGACATATTTTATATAAAATAGGGAACGAAAACATGATGCCAATTAGTATGTATACGTATTACATTGCAATCGAGATTTTTAATTTCTAATTAAAAAAATCAATTTAAAAATGAATTCATTCATTTTTATGTTACATTGTGTACGAAAATGAACTTTTATTATTCAAAAAATAAACATAAAATATTGTCTACGTATAATAATATTAGTTTTAAATAATTTCATGATAAGTTGAAAGTGTCATTATACGTTTCTAAATTTTTTTTTTTATTAATATTATTATACTTAAGCAATTTTCGCTTATAACATTATCAATATTGGATATCAATTCTGTTTTAAATTTTATTATTATAAGTAACAAGTTCGTAAATTTTCAATTTACGCTGCAATGCTAATAAAATTGATATCATTATAAATTTACATTAAGGAATACTTCGTTAATATAATGTCAGAGAACATGCTAAAGATCTTGTAGGAGAGTTAATCAAGAATCAATTAAGTTACGAAGCAATGAAGAGGTAATCTATTGAAGACTGAGGAAGCTTGCATAGAGAATTAATAAAACGAACGTTGTACATGCGTTGAAAGTTTGCAAAAGCAAGTTAATACGTTTACATTTCAGTTATTTGAGGGAAAAATAAATAATAGTGATCTTTTCTTTTTTTTTTTTTTTGGAAATCATTTCATTAGATGAATTTATTAAATTTATTTTAAAAATATATAATACGAAAAGCAAATTTATTTGATATGGAATTAATTTTCATTTTAAATTAATAATCTAATATAAAATATATTATTATATTTTAAATACAATGCAGAAATATATGTGAAATATAAATGGAATTTCATAAGATAAAATAAATATCATGGACTTATCGAATATATTATTTTATGGGTAATTTAATTAAGAATAAATAAATTTATCCTATTTTTATATTTTCTTCGTTTGAAAGCTTTAAAACTGAATATTTTTACGAAATTATTCATAAATAATTTTTGGGGGAATAAAATAAAAAAAAAATGGATTAAATCTAGTGACATTTTAACTTTTATCATGAAAAATTCATCTTTTTTTTTTTCTTTATTTGCTTGTAAAACTCTTTCGTTCTGATTAAATTCGTCGTTTTGAACTTGGATTACTTTTCCAATTTCAAAAGTTTTTTTCAATCATGAAAACTTCCATCCGATTCCTTCCAATTTTATTCCAGTTTATTATTTGTATGCTGTAATATTTTGAAATCTTTTAAGGATATTAATTAAATAAATTCGACGTTAATTAATCCCATATGTAACATTATGTATCTGTACCTCTTTTTACCTCTCTCGCGTATATTTTCCAATTTTATCGATGAAACACGTTGCATTTTTAACGCGACACTGAAATTTTCCGCACGTTGCCATATAACCTGTTTATGTATGAATCTCTTCATAAGCTTTTATCATCTGCAAATTTATCACAACATTTAGAGAAGGAACGGATAAAAAAATGAAGAGATACAAAGAAATATCATTGTTGTTGCTACTTAATAAAATAACTCGTGCTTGGAAAACATTATTAACGCAGGATGTGCATTATCGTTTCCACTCTGTTTCTTGCTTATATTTCATTACGAAAATATAACTCGAGTTCTCTTCTCTACCCTTATCGTTACACCATAAATTTTTCTATTAAATTTAAAACCAAATTATTTTAAAATTTAAAGTTGATTGAGATTTACATCTGGCCGGATCTTCTTCCTCTAAAAATCCAATAAATTAAACGAATTAAAATTCGATATTTTACAAATTTATCACACGTTTCTTCTGTGTGTATTAGTATCCTTGTTCATTTTTATAAAAGATTACCTTCCCATCAAATCCTTCCTTGATTAATTGAAATACACACGAATAAAATTTATTGATAATGAAAATCCCTATTATCAATATCTGGTCAATTCATTCATCGTTATTTTAAAATTTCGCACGTATCGCTTTTATAGATTTCACCCCTTCTGTTACCAATCTTACTACAATCCTTCTCACGAGGAAAAACTCACGAGCATTCTCCCTCTATGCGATTGATCGAACGCAAACAATCTTTTCCAGGTCCACTCCTGGTGGGGAAGGAAGCACAAGCATAAGGAATTTTGAAGAAATCGAAAGAGCGGAGAAACTCGGTACTTACATCTCTTCTCGAGGTCGAAATTCTAAAACTTCTCCCGTTTCAACGGAAGAATATATGTATCGAGGTACAAAGAAGGTGATCTTGAAGAAATCGCGAGAGGGAGAGGGACGTCCATAGATGGAATCGATCCGCGGTTGCCGAAACGTCGTTCCATGTAAGAGGTTCAATCCGTCAAGATCCGTGGATCGTGTCCCGTGGGATTATCCCTCGTGGAACGACGGCCATTGAAATCGTAAATGGTAGCACGGGTTAAGAAAAAAAGCAGGCACGGCGCGTGAAGATTCCAAGATTGTAAAATATATATATATATATATATATTTTTGAAGGAGAAGGGGAGGAAAATCGAGCAAAAAGATAAGAAATGACCTTCTGAATCGTAGGATAGAAGAGGATAAAAAGTAAATCCCTAGTGGAACTTTTTAAGAGAGAGGAGGGTTATATCTCGAAGAGGGTTGAAAGTGATCTTCCAGAACAATGTTTGAAGTGTATGTTGAAATGGAAATAATGGTCGATGAATCGGTTGGAGTGGTCTGTACGTGAAACGAATCTGGAAAAAGAGACGGGGAATCAGGAAATATGTATATATATATATATATAAAATTATAGAAGAAATTACCTCGAGGAGTGAATTTCTCGGTTTAAAGATATTAGACAGAAGTTACGAATTGCACAAGATTTTGTAAGACGGTAATGGCTCTCCGGAATTTAACGAGATTAACGGAGGAATGTAGGCCAAGGGATTAAACAGAAGGGAGAAAAACGCGGCGAACGATCTTGGGATAACTTGCATTTCATCTCCATTGAACGCCTTTCGCTGAGTTTCAGCAGTTTCGTGTAGTCGATTTGATTCGAATGGAATGTGAAGCAGCATCGATTGATGGCCGTTTCTCGCTCTCTGGGAAACAGAAAAGTTGGAAAAGTGAAGCGAGATATAATGATAAGTGGAAAAGATGAGAGAGATGGAAGCTTGGACGACGTGACTCGCATCTCCATCCTAATGCATCTCCGATGGATCGTAAATCGGATACGTTGTAGCAGTGAAGTTCTCGCGTGCGGACTTGTATGATGAATAACGGATGCCTAAACGGAGTGATTCGTCACGAAAGCATCGTAAACCACACCCTTAACGAGGATAATAAAAACGTTGCTGTAGAGGGTGATAGAGAATTTTTTTATCTGCCCGATGTCGAGGCCAGTATCGAGAACAGTTACCGTCGCTCGATACAACATTGTCACGTTCCATCGACAACGTGGAGGTGATTTAGAAGAGTACTCACAAACGACGATGATCGTTTGTTAAATGATCCTCCTCCTCTTCCTCCACCAGTGGATTTATTTTATTATTTTCTTTAAATAATAAAGAGATATCAATTTACCAAAACCCGTTCTCCGCTCTTGACTGTGATCAACATGTCAAAGATTAACACACTCGATATTTCGATATTCGCATACTCGAAGAGTAAGAATCAGGGGAGGAAGAAACGGAGCGGATAGGAGAGAAATAGGAAAAAAAAGAAAAAAAGAATCCAGCAAGGATGCGGCCATCCCTCGAGATGCGATGCCTCGCCACGTACACTACGAGGATACCCGGCACTTGAACGCGACCCTTCTACACCTGAGCCATCTGATTCGTCGTATATCAACCATGAATAGATTGAACGCTAGCTTCTGGAACAGTTTGAACATCACGGACGAGGATATAGATTACGTGAACAAGTTCATGGATAATCTATCGATTTCGTGCAACGACAATTGCGAGCAACAGATCGGTTGCTACTGCAACGGGACCGTTCGGGATCTGGCGATCGAGTACAAGAATTATCACGGTTACGTTGCGTTGATGGTGTGCTTGTTCGGTACGTTGGCCAACATGCTGAACATAATCGTGTTAACGAGGAAAGACATGGTCGCAACTCCCATAAACCGAATTCTCACGGGTCTCGCGACCGCCGACATGCTCGTCATGCTGGAATACATACCGTTCGCTATTTACATGTACATCGTGCTCCCAAAGAGGCAGATATTTCCTTACGGGTGGGCGGTGTTCGTCCTCTTCCACATGCATTTCACGCAATTGCTCCACACCATCAGCATCGCCATCACGCTCACCCTCGCTGTTTGGAGGTACATCGCTATCAGGTGAGTAGTAGAGCTCCGTACCGCGGATCATTCGCTTTATTGGAAGCGGCAACGAATTTCGAATCACGATCAGTGATGCTCGATCTTCCGTTTCGATCGGTGGATGCTTTAACCGAGGTTACTTCGTTCCATCCGTGATACAGAGTTCAATGGCGTTCCCTTTTCAATACGAGATTCAATGAATTTGTAGGTCGGTTGTTGAATCACGGACATCTGTAATTTCACGTTTCTTTGTCTACGTTTGTCGTAATTGATTGGCCAATTAATGCCGCATTTGAAGTTGCATTTCATAATCTAGATCGATCGTTCGTTACAATTATCTCGTAAATATCTGATAAATATATATCTCAGTAGGATGGAAAATTAAATGTTTCGTGTTAATTGTAAGCAAGTTGTGATAAAAGTTGTGAATAATATGGGATAATAATTCTGTCTAAATTTTGTTAAAGATCTTCGTGATTGATTGAACTTTAACTTTAATTACGGAGCAATTGTATTGAAGAGAAATGGTTGAAAATTTTTACGATTTGACGAAATTAGGGGCTTTTCTTTTTAAATTTTACGTTTCGAGAAGAATTTGTATCTGAAAAAGATAAAAATTTTAGAACGGAAAGAAGTAGTTTAAAATTACTTTGTCGCGTGAAAAATTTTTTTGACAACATTGAGAAAATGTGCGCGAGTTAAATCGCAAGAAAAAAGGAAAAGAGAAGACAAAATTCGGATACATTTAGTGGAAATATTGTAAACGAAATATCGGTTTTCAATACGCTGAATTTTTGCATTTCGACATTGCGATTCTACATTTTTTTTTATTATTATCGTACTAAAATAAGTAAAATTACGTTTATTTAATTCAACTATGTTCCATCACAAGTTTAGACTGCAAGATTTTTTTCTGAAATTATAAAATTCGCAATTTCCTCTTTTCGACTCGATTTAATATTTAAGATTTATTTCTATCAATTTTCACGAATTTATGGGATATTTTTGTATTAAGTTTCACCATTTGCGAGCCTCCTGTATCAAATTACATAAATCTACCAGTTCCACGATTTAAAATAATTCTAACGACACCCTCGAGATCGAAATCTCTATCTCTTATTGGGCTATAAAAAACTTTTTTTACAGACAGAATCACCACTTTCGTGACATTTTTATTATTCATTCTATGTATTTAACAAACTCTCGAAACATATTCGTAAATGTTAAACAATTGTTCAAAGTTAATAAATATTTAGCCAATAATAAATTTCGAGGTAATCAAGTTCTGCAGTTAATTACTACGGTTAATCAATTTTATAGGGCGTGTTTCATTACGAGAATACTGCTTCGTTGCAGTTCCGGTTAATTTTCGAGTCTTTTTTTTTTACGAGCAAGTAAGTTTAATATCGTCCACTTTGTGTCCACTTTTCTCTTTCAAAATTCAAATTTAAACGAGTTGATTACTCGTCCCTCGGTAATTAAGATCGGAATGTCGAAAAATAAGCTTGATTATTCTTCGTTTCTTGAAAAAGATTATTCAGAAAATGACGTAGGTGGATATCAAATTTAACTCGTTCCTGTTGAAATTGGTTGATGGATAATTGATACGGAGATAATTGAAATATTTCTCTATCGGGCGAGAGAGAGAGAGAAAGAGCTAGTATAATCGAAAATCCAATTAGGTTAGTGGGGAAAATGAATCAAAATTAGTTTGTACACCTAAATAAGTAACAATTTGATCACTGGTTGTTATTAAATGTAACATTACACGTTACTAATTGATACTGTGTATACGTGAACCAACTATTCATTAAGCAGAAACTGAATATATTGGGTGGAACCGTATGTTTCACGTACGCTTAATTACACGGAGTTATAATTGTAACGTACACATGTGTCTAATGCTTAAGATTATACACGTCGATGCGATGATCAAATATAAAAGTTTACTTATTGCAGTGCAAAGTTCTCACACAGACACATTTACATTGTAATCGATCGATTGTCCGTTTAATCGATACAGCAAAATGATTCTAAAGTAAAAGGAGGGATATATTAATTATAATAAAATTATAATAAAATTATAGTTACCGGTAAATAAAATAAATCATACCCGGGGTACCCGGAATATTTGAAAATTCAGGTGTTGAAAAAACAAAAATAATTGATTAAATGAGCGTATTGGTTTATCCTATATTTGTGCCATGTGGTTTCACAAAAGTGGATTATCAACTTCTGGGAATGCTAATTGGTAGATATAATCAAGCACGCTCTCATCTGCGTGAAGTAGTTGGATATTTCACCTGAAAAGAAAATTAAATTATTTCAGAGAATAATTCTGTTTAACGCATAACATAGTTTCTTTTTAAAAAACACAATTTAATAATATTTTTTTTTTTTAACAATGGTTATTTCTTTTAAATCATAATATAGCTTAATTTTCGTAAGCGTATTATGTGTATACTCAGCATATTTTCAATTATTTAGTCTCAACAGGATTCCCTCGATTCATTTTTTCGTTTTATAATCTTCTTTAAATTTTAAGATGTATCACGTTATATTCTTTATTATATTTCAATTTTTATATTGATATCGAATTTTAAGAAGATTATAATGGATCTGTTTCTAAAAATAAATAATCTATATTGAAGATACGGCTATAATAAATTTTTATGTAATTCTGTATTTTTTTTTTCTTTTTTTTTTTCAGTAGAAAAATTTTCATTGTACTCGGTTATCGTTCGACTTCAGACGAGATTCAATCACACGCCCCAATTCGGTTATCAAAATAAAACAATTTGCGAGAATCTTTTTATATTCGAAAATATACTAGTTTGAATGACACTATTTCGTTTATATTAGATAGCTTTTTCTTGTAGAAAAAATAAAAAAGAAAAAATAGAAAAATAGAACGAAATGAAATTAATAAAATGATATTTCCATTTATAAATTAATCGTACGATATTATAAATGATGAATTTAAGATGATCAAAGTCAGGATAAATAGAGAAAAGATAATTGTGCTCGATAGTGAGTAGAATAAGACGATCGTGATTAAATTTTTAATTTTATATAATTTTATATTATTATGATATTTATGATATTTTTTTCGAATTATTATTATATAAAAAAGAGAAATCTCTTATAATTGCAAAATATTATTGAAGAAAACAAGGTAATTTATTTTAATATGAGCAAATTTACATAACGTTATTCTAAATCTCGAATATGAATAGAATATTGTCAGATATATCTTGCATTAATTAATTTTTTACTTTTACATTTAATGCAGAATAAAATCCTACGCAGAGTCATATAAAATATTTCATATTCATATTCCGTAAAATATTTAATATGCGAGCAATAAATTGTTCTTTACATTCCCCTGCACTCACTAATAACGAATAGAGGAATAATGATCTGTTAAGCGAATTATTCATTTTTATTGCACAAATATTTTTACTCTATGTAGAAATCCATCACATATGTTGTCTGTTATAAATTGAATCAATCCTCTGTTTGTTTGTACGTGTATTCCCATAAAATCACGATTCACATTATAAATTCGATTGAAAATCTGTCAATCTCGTTCATTTTTTTCGTGATAATTTCACGAAACGATGATCAATCCTCGAAGCACGTTCAATCGTTAAACAGAATGTTATTCTTCCAGATTATCATATATTCTCGAATCGAGGATGAAAATGTAAAAAGGATGAAAGTACGTTCATTATCGATCGTTTGCTATAGATCACGAATAAAATTCTTTACGTAATTTTTTATTTATAGAATATTAAAATATACACGTGTGCAATTTAAGAATAAGAAATATTTAAAAAGAAATCAATAGGGATACGATTTCCTTTTTTTTTTCTTTGTATTGTAAGGAAATATGTGAAAGAAAGGAAACAGAAGAAAAATTATATATATACTATAGCAAGATTCTTTCTGATAATAGATCACATATATTACGAGTTGACTTATCAACTGTCACTCAAAAAGAATGAGATCTCTCATCCCTTGATACACACGAAAAGTTTAAAGGAAAACACTTAATGAAAATTAGTAAAAATTGAAAAGTTAACTCCGTCGATAAGACAGAACTCGTTCTGGCGGCTTGCATCATTTTGAATTTAAACTACAAAATCAGGCTATGTAAATTTATCGAAGTGAGAAAAGTTTTACCTGTAATGCTTGGGCAAGTATTGGTTTGAAAGTTAGAGACAACGTCAAACTAATAAAACAAGTTGGTGATTGCAACTTTGATGCGTATCTGTTTCGCATCTAATAAAACATTAAAGTTTCGCGAATAAATGAAACGATTCCAAATGGTAAAATTACATTTTATTATTATTAATGAAGGAGGTCGAGTTTAACGCTGCAAGTTTTACTCGCAAGTTTACGATAGAAACTGTGGAAACATTAAATGTAGCATGAATAAACGAGTACACATTTAAAGAAAGAAAATAAAACTAAGAGATCGAGGAATAGTCATTAAGGAAAAGTGTAACCAGTTTTTCAAAAGTTGAACAAATACGATGTATTCACGGAAAATATAACATATTTGTGAGACAATTTCGTATTATTATATTCTATCTTCCTTATAACAATGTTACGAATTTAATATAACTTTTGTCAAATAACAAATTTGGTGGATATTACTTTGCAGAGTAGAGGGCTTGCTTCAAAATAGAGAGAGAGCATTATAAGCGCTCCTCGAAAATCCTTGGAAAAAACTATTTAAATCAAACTTTTTTCTCAACTCAAAATAAAATTTAATAGATCTTATGGATCTCTCTTGTTCCATTTATAATTTTTTCATAAATTTGACTTAAATATTATATTTTTATATTTCACCTTCGTTAATTAATCTTTCGTAATATGTTATATTGAATCAGAGATTGTTTAACATTTGAGATTTCGAATATGTGAATGTTGTTTCACATAAGATTTATCTGTCACGAAATTATAAATTATTTTCAATTCGGTGATGATAAAATTAAATTGCATAGGAAATG